CTCTTCGTGGGGTTTGCCCTAATTGCTGGACCATGCTACCAGCCCTACCAACAGAGGCCCACGAAGCAGCAGCCCAGCAAACATCTCTGACACTCAGAGTAGCCAGTACCGTATCAAGCAGACAGCAGCCCTGGCAAAGGGTTGAGAGGAGAGCCTTTTGGGGTGCACATGGGACCACAGGAAAGTCTCCTGGGGGCCTCTGGCCACCAAAAGCCCTGCTGCTTGTCTGTCTTTCCACCCAGGGAGAACCTACCACAACCACAAATCACACACAGCAGTACAACCCATGTCACTGAGCTGCAGCCAACAGCCCCTCGAGGTGTGACAAAGGAGAAGGAAACTGGCCGTCCTAGGGAGCTACTCTCCACTCCCTCCAGCTCCAGTGGTGACAAAGCCAACACTGTGGCTAGGAGGAAATAAAGCCCGATGGCTGTGAGTGAGGAGCCGAGAGTGGCTGTGTGTCTGAAGAGGACACATAGGTGGGCAAGTGTGAGTGGCAGGACTGGCCACATGTGACCCCTCCAACAAGAAGCAGAAAGAAAACAAGCTCTGACCAAACTCAGAGCCAGCACATCCTGCCTGGCAGGGCCCCTTCATTCCTCCTGAGGCCCCTGCTCTGCAGATGGGGCTCTAGCAGCACTGCTCTGAGGGGAATGGTCAGGGAAAAACTCATGGGACTGACCACCCCAACCCTATCCCAGCCAGGCCCTCTCTGCAGGGTTGCAACACAAGGTCAAGAAGAGGGATGAGGAAGCCAAGTCCTGTGGGCTTCAAGGCGCTGGGCAGGTGTGAGAGGCTGGGCATTCAGATCTGGACACCAGAACAGGCACAGCCAAGGGATCAGAACCCCAGTGATGCGAAAGCCCAGTGCATGTGAAAGCTCGAAGAAGTGGCCTAGCCTCTCAGCTCCTCACTTTGCTCTCCTGACAAAAGGGACAGGATCAACTGACTTGAAGATTTACATGGCTGCCTGAGGTTCACGTGAGAGGTCAGACACTAACACGAAAACTGGCTGGATGCGATGGCTCACACCCAGCACTTAGAAGGCCAAGGTGGGAAAATCACTTGAACCCAGGAGTTCGAGACCAGTCTAGGCAACATAACAAAAATTCAAAAAACTACCCAGATGTGGTGTCATGCACCTGTAGTCCCAGCTACTCAGAAGGCTGAGGTGGAAGGATCGCCTGAGCTGGAGGTCAAGGCCATGGTGAGTCATGATCATGCCACTGCACTCCAGCCTGGGTGACAGAGTGAGATCCCAACTCAAAAGAAAAAGAGGAAGGAAGGAAGGGAGGGAGGGAGGGAGGGAGGGAGGGAGGAA